GGAGCACGGGGACCTCCACGTCTCCCGCTGGCAGCTGCGCCAAGTCTTCTACAACGGCCAGTACTTTGCTAGCACGGGGGATCTGGAAGACGCGTTTGTGGCCGACTTGCTGAAGGTCGTCAAGATCAAGAAGCCCCAGGCTGAAGCGGTGCTGGGCTCGATGAGACCCCGGCGCCCGCCCGGGTCCCTGGGCCCACTGCAGTACGAGCCCCAGGGTCCCCGCTACAGCGTCAAGGACAACCGCGTCACCTTCCAGGGCTGGAGCATCGCCTTCGGCATGAACCCCAACTCCGGCCCACGCCTCTTTGACATCAGGTACCGTGGGCAGAGGATCGTCTACGAGCTGAGTCTGCAGGAAGCCTTAGCCCTGTACGGCTCCAACTGCCCTGGGGGCATGTCGACCCGCTACCTCGATGGGAGCTTCGGCATCGGCAGGTTTGCCTACGAGCTTGTCCGGGGCCTCGACTGCCCCTACACGGCGACCTACGTGGACCAGCACTACCTGGTGGAGTCGGAGACCCCCAAAACCAACGAGAACTCGCTCTGCATTTTTGAGCATGATGCTGCCCTCCCTCTGCGGCGCCACTTCTCTGACTTACAGTCCTTGTACTACGGCGGGCTGCAGAAAACCACCCTGGTCATCCGTGCCATCTCCACTCTCATCAACTACGACTACATCTGGGACTTCATGTTCCATGGTAGCGGGGCCATCGAGGTCCGGGTCCATGCCACCGGCTACATTAGCTCCTCATTCCTCCATGGCCAAGGCACCAACTACGGCAACAAGGTTGGGCCCCACACGCTGGGGACGATGCACCTCCACCACATCCACTACAAGGTGGACCTGGATGTTGACGGTAGGTCTGGGCACCTTTATGTGTGGCCGCCATTCACTGTGGGCTGTGGCTCTGCCCAGGGTGCAGAGCTCGAGAGGGTTTTCCCTTCTGCTTCACAGGACAGTTGAACTCCCTGGAGACCCAGGACATGGGGTACGAGCTCGTGAAAGAACCCTGGAGCATGCAGAACACCATTGAGCGGCCGTACCTCCGCAGGAAAAGGCTGGAGAGGGAGGACGAGGCAGCTTTCTGGCTCAATGCCCCCATGCCCCGCTACATCTCCTTTGCCAGTCCCAGGTCCAACAAGTGGGGGCATCTGCGCAGCTACCGGATCCAGATCACCAGCTTCGCTGGGGAGCACCTCCCCACCAGCAGCCCCATGGAGAGGTCCATCAGCTGGGGCAGGTGGGTGCCAGGGTCCCAGCAGAGAGGGGGCTGCTGGCTCCCAGCAAGCCTGTGCTAGGCTGCAGGGAAGGGTTAAACAGCCAACATGCTTATTTTTTGCCTCTGAAAATCCCTTGAAAAGTTGCTCAATGACATCTGTTCTTAGTAGTTCACAGGCAGGAATCTGACCCCAGATAAGATTAATTTAGAGAAATCACATGTGTTTTTCCCTGTGAGAGCAACCAGGCTGTAGGACGAGCTCCCAAGGCAGCACTGGCATCCCCAGGTCTTGACATCTTCATGTGAGGACAGAATGCCTTTTGGAAAGTGCTTGGGATGAGCACAGAACTGTCCCACTGCCAGGGTGGAATTCAGCGGCTCACGCTCTGGGGGAGGCTGTGGGAGTTAAAAGCGGTTGTGGCTGAAGTGAGTGTGTTGGGCAGTGAGCAGCACCGTCTGCGCCTGGACGTGTTCGTGTTTCCTGGCCTTGGCGGAGCAGCTGTGGGCAGTGAGTGATCCCCTGCAAGCCCGAGGGTGCCAGGGCCGCTGCCTGTCGCTGCCATGCTGGTCCCTGCCAGCCCTTTCCCTCCCTGACCCACGACAGACCAGGTTCCCCAGCATTGCCAGGGATGCATCCAGCCCCAGTTAGCCAGTGCATCCCCAGGCAGTGATGCCGTGGCTGGCCCG